CAAAAGCTCGCCGTAATAGACCGTTTCATTGGCTAATCCATCACATCATCCAGAACACGTCAATGCTAACAAGTCTTCCAGATCCTAGTGTAGTAAAGACAAGTAACACGAAATGAAACGAAACGAAACAGGATCTATGTTTTAATCAGATTGGCTATTGTCAGGCAGTGTTTATTGAAATGTATTTAAACAAGTCAGGTTGATGTTCCCTCGCCTCAATCTGAAAATACATAACTGAGCCCAATACATTACTATCACACCTCTCTGTTTAAAATGCATCTAACAATCAATCACGTCATCGAATTCAGTCAAGGTGATGGTGTTTTGTTTAACTCAATTGTATTTTAATATTTAGAAAAAATCAAAAATTAGCCTACAATTACATTTCATCAGAGATATAAAACGAAAAACAAATCTCGAAGAACAGATTTCCAAATACAAATCTTGCAAAACATTCTCCAAAAACATTTCCCGAAATTCATCGAACTGGAATATATGACATGAACGGAAATCAACTTGACTTACAATAAGTCACCATACAATAATGGGGAATCGAGCCAGCATACATACAATGACCTCGACTGTATTGAAACCACGTGAGTAGTATGGCTATTCGGGCCGGGTCCTCGATAAAGAAAATAAATTAAAAGGTGTTTATTTTCAAAAGTTAGGTTATTGTCTGATAGCGACATATTACTTTGCTCAAACGAAAGGGGTTTTATCTCTTCTAATTCCTGTAACCATGAATGTGCCAGGGAATAAGTAATATATTGAAAGAGAGATAAATATAAATACTTTCCGGTCATACATTACACGATGACCCGTATTGTAACTTTAAAATAGCCCCCCCCCCCCCCCAAACACACACACTAACTTAATAGTATTTAGCGTCATCCAACTTTAATACTCTATCAAGCTATGTACATTTTAATATGCCAGAGTATTATTTACATTTCTGAAAAGGTAAATGCAATTTTTTTTAAGTGGTGTTCAGTGTGGAATTACGTAGCATGGAGGGGTGCTCTGACATTTAATACCCCCCTCCCCTTCCCCATGGCTTAATAGAGTTTAATACCGCACAACTTTTCAAATTATTTTCTGGCACATTTATATTTACATACCTTGAAAAAAGATCAAAGTTTCACGGTACTAAACAGATCTTAATATATGTTCATATACTGCTGGAAAGTTTGTTTATTGCTTGTTACATAGATTATATTTTCTGACACATTTATATTTACTTGAACGTATTAAATGAGAGGTGAGAGGATATATAACCTAAATATACGGGCCATAACACGACATACAAGATGCCGGGATGCATGACATTAAAAATGTCCAAATAAGTTTTCAAAATTGTAAATATATTTTCTGACATATTCATATTTACGTACTTTGTTAAAGCAGATATTATTTTTCATCGTCTGAACTTTATTTAGTGAAGGGGTGTGGGGTATTTAAAATACCGGCCATAATACGAAATTCCAGTTATCATAAAGTATAGTCTATCGCTGTTTGAATATACGAGTAATAATTATTTTACTGGCACATTAATGATTACATGATTTGAAAGAGATAAAATCATCTTTCGTTTGTCCAAAGAAATATCTCGCTATCAAAAATTAACCTAATTACTAAAAATAGACTACTTTCAATTTATTTTATTTAATGCTAAGTCGGATTAACCAATATGATATAGAAACATAACACGCACGGGATTCCACGGTCTTCGAGCGATCTGTCTTACTCTTATTGTAGGCGGACGTAAAATACAACTAACCCATCATCAATTCCCCTTTATTGTATGGCGACTCATTGTTTGCCAGGTTGATTTCGACTCATGTCGTCATAATTTACCGGTTCGAAGAATTTCAAGAAATGTTTTTTTGGAGAAATGTTTTTTTGGAGAAATTTTTTACAAGATTTGTATTTAGAGGTTTGTATTTTGAAATTTCTTGTTCGAGATTTGTTTTTCGTTGTATGTCTATGATGAAATGTAAATGTAGGCTATTTTTTGATTTACTAAAATAATCGGCAATTTACTTGTGTTCAAATGAAAGAAACTCGCCGGTCACGCGCACCGGCAGTCAAGGCCACCTTGGTGGCAAATTTGAATATGTCCTTTACCTGTATTTCAGGGAGATTTGGTGGACGTTTATATTGATGGATTAAAACCGTAACACTTTTGTTACTATGCATGTTATTCCTTGAGAATCTCAAGTTGTGATAGTGTTAAGATGAAACTGCATGGTCTTTATCCTCTACTACTGCCTTGAGATCATCACCAAATCCATTATTCCATTGTTTATTTATCTTTTCCACTAAATAAATGGCTTCTGTCAGTTTTTTGTGGCACCTGTGTATATTAACGTAGACACTGGTCTAAGCAACAAGGATGTGTGAAGTGTGAAATGAAATGGGGTTTGGTGCCCTACTTTTCTACACTGACGTGGCTAATGAAGACGGGCATACCCCATGCAGTATGCTGTGAAGGACATTTTGTCCGGACAATCACTTGTAATTGTCAGTGATTCTTTAACGTACACACCAATTTGTACACGATACCCTTGGTTTTTCGTCGTCCCATCCGAATTAAAATACGTTATCCTTTTATCGGACACCCTGTCATGTACTATATGATAAATGGGAACCATGCTGGGAAATCACAGTACATTTACTCGGCCAACACTGGAGTCAAACACGGGGACCTCCAGGTTAGCGAGCAAACGTCTTACCCACCGAGCCACCACTGCTACCGCTACGGCTCCACACACACACACACACACACACACACATGTGCTATAAGTAACATATTTTATATGATCCGAATAGGCTTTATTCACTACATTGCCGGTGAAACTACGTCTTTTATTACGACTGAACGCTCCTCCGAGTCGTTATTAAAATACACATATCGTAATAGCGGTTATACCCTATCATATTATTTCTAAGGTAAAGTGGGACACAGAATGCTATTCACACGTTCTACTTTTATGATGCAAATCGTAGACCAAGGACAACATTTCACATCGATTTCGAATTTTGAGCACCGTTTATTGTAATGCAATAATCTGTCACAATCAATCATGTCAATAATAAATCGTAGTTGATATCCCTCCTACCCATTACCACGTGACTGAAGTATGTATTACATCGACACAGGTGTAATAAAGAGTCTCCCTACCACATTGTTGCGCAAAATCAAAACGTGTTTTATGCCCACTCGACACAACTAGGTCATTTCGAGACTAACATATGGTTCAATTTTATTTCAATACATAGCCTTTGCGTAGGGTCATTAGCAGTGGGAAGAAACCGGAGAACACGGAGAAAACCCACAAGGATGGACAGGCAGACCTACTACTGGTCACGCAAGTTGACTCAATGACAGATCTTATGATATACACCGAGCAAGCGCTAACCAATCGGCCACCTCTCCGCCGCCTCATGATATTGTAAAATTTCATGAATAAGTATGACGTTAATCTCAGCCTCCATTTCATTTCCTATGATTCAGTTATATTGCTAACTTTGACCTAATGTTCAATATTCTGAGAAATCGGGTTTAACGTCCACTCGATAAAAATTATGTCATTTGACGTAACACATAGTTCAATTTCATTACGACAATTCACTAGACAAGGTGAAAAACCCGCGAGGTTGGACAGGCGACCCCACTCCTTGTCACATGCGGGGAATCAAAACTACGCCACTTGACTCAATGACAGACTTTAAGATCTGACGCACATGCGTTAAACCATTCGACCACGGTCACCCAATCTCTCATCTCTCCTCTTACTATAGATGACTAGGTGTAAATGAACATTAAAAGGATTATATGGTCGCAAAAGCATTACAAAATTAAAATGAAATGAAACGGGGTTTAACGCCCTATTGCCAATTGTACCGACTGGGCTAATGAAGACGGACATACACGTCATTTTGTGTGGTATGAGGGAAATTTTTATTGGACAGCAGCGCTAAGGCATTCTCTTGTATCGAATTCCAACTGTCAAAGTTTCTTTTACGTGCAGCCAAGGTGTACACGGGACCTCGATTTTTAGTTCCATCCTTTCAAGAATCTCAGTCCTGCATCACCGACATTGGTATTTCCGTTACGAAAAGACTTTACACTAAAATCAACCGGCTTCATTAGCACAGTCGATGTAGAAAATTAGGACGTTAAATCCCATTTACTTTCAATTCACTCAAGTCCATATGGTCTATTGACCGTGTAATATAAAGAGTGGTCTCCCTTTTACACAAACTGAAATAGGGTTTAACGTCGTACTTTTTGCCACCTACAGAGAAATGAAATCGGGTTTAACGTCCTACTGTTCTGCTCCGAATGGGATAATGGAGTCGAGCATCCGCCATACAGTGTGCTATGAGGGAAAGTTTGCCCGGGCAGCGGCACTATGGCCTACTCTTTATCGAGTTCCAACTGCCAAGGGATCTTTTACGTACACGGCAATGTATACACGGGACCTCGGTATTTAGTCTCACCCGAACGACTAGATAGCTGCCCTTGTCAGGTCCTCCGTCCTGTACCACTGACAAGAGGAAAGCACGTCGGAAAATCCAGATGATGTTTCTTGACCAATGAAGGGATCGAACACTCGATCTCCAGACTAGCGAGTCAGCGTCTTTCCCACCTAGCCACTGTGGCTCCCTCACCTACCGAGCTAAAGAAATGCAATGCAATGAAATGGGGTTTAACGTCCTACTGTTCTGCTTCCACAGGGCTAATGAAGATTGGCGTGTGCCATACGATATACTATGAGAGAAATTTTGCCCGGACTTTTGTACTATTGCCTATACTTTTATCGAATTCCAACTGTCAAGGGGTCTTTTACGTGCACGCCAAAATGTACACGAGACCGCTTCGATGGGACTTTTGCCGGGACAGCGGCGTTTCCGTCTGCAAATTATTGTAAGGATTACCATCTTGCAATTAGAAAAGGCAATATTACGATAATCAAACATGAACAACGACAAAATCAAAGTGCAATTATTATTTATTTATAAACTACACAGCATAGCGTTATAATCAAATATTATTTCACTATATTTATTTTGTTATTGTAATGGATAAGGGAGGTAAGCTGATTTGAACAGAACAGTACAAGTTCATCCAGAAAACATTATTTTGATTACAGGCCAAATTTCTATATAAAAATATATGGAGTATCAAAATGCAGAAATTATTTTTTAAACAAAGTTGGTTTGCATAAAATAGTACAAGTTCAAAATACATGAAGTTGATCTAGAAAAAAATATTTTGATTAAGATTTATTGAAACAATAGAGCAACGTAGTAAAATTCACTATACAAGTATTTGGTTAATATAAATGTTAGGGTATATTAAAATTTAGGAAAATGGTTTTAAGAATAAAACTAAAACAAAGTGGTTTGCATAAAACAGTACAAGTTCAAAAGGCATGAAGTCTATCTTGAAAACAAAGGAGCAAATTTAACTAATTTGGTTACCATAAATAGATTAAGCAATTACAATATGGTCGGTTTGACTAAAATTGCACAAATTTGAAAGACAACGATTATTTTATTATTGAGAAAATATCTATTTCGCGATTTTAATTCAATATTTGGTACAGTGATTTTATTGTATTCGCTTAAACTTTAGGATCTAATTGATGCACATGTACTACATATTTTATACAAAACGAAGATAACCTTATCAAATATAACTTATTTACATACAAACGACAGACCATAAAGCTAAGAAAGTGATTCAGGATAGTCATCCAGTTTGTAGGCCAACAAGCTATCTAACATGTTGATACAGTGATCTGAAAAGATATGAAATGACTATAATTAATGTCTAAGATAGACAACTCCGTAAAAACAAGCCTACAAATTATATTAATATGGCGTGTGAACATAACCAATCCATCCTTATTACCAGATTGATTACAAAAAATTCCTAATTTTAGACGTATTGTAATGGTACTGGTTTATGAATTTGTATGTTGATTCACTGCTAGACGTCCATGATAAAAGCTCGTTCAAATCTTCGTTCAGCGATAAAAATTACCTTGTGATTTTGATGTCTATTTTAATTGGGGTTGCTGGATGTTCCGAGACTATTTTTCATTATAAAAAGACTAGCATATAACTACCACGAACTCTCAAGTATTAAGTAATGAAGTAAAATGGGATTAACGCCATACTTTTTGTGCTCTATCCGGACTAACAAAGACTGATATACCGTTTACGCCTTCCGATTTTCACTTCAGCTTATGTGTAATGATTTAATGAAATTAAGTTTAACGTCATAGTTTTCTGCATCGACTGCGGTGATGAAGACGGGTTATACGCCATGCTATGGGGGAACGTGTGCCCGGGCAGCGGTGCTACGGCCTTCTGTCTTTTCGAATTATACCAACTGTCAAGGGTTCTTTTGCATGCACGCCAACGTCTACCAATGTCTACACGGGATCTCAGTGCACAAGTAGAAACCAAGCCGATAAACGCCAGGATCGAACACGGGACGTATAGGTTAGCGAACCAGAGAGTTAACAACACTCCAACTTTACAAACAAAGGGACTTACGTAATCAATCCATCCTTTAAAATTCTGGAACCCAGTACCTTGACCTAGTATGAAGGCACACTGTGATCTTAGTATTCTAGCTTCAACTGTAAAAGAATTAGATATGAATTGAAATAGGGTTTAACGTCCAACTGTTCTGCTCCGAGTTCTTTTATGTGCATGCAACGGTTTACTCGAGACCTTGGGTTTTCATCCCATCCGAACGTTGTCCCTTGAGAATTATATGTGGCATCATGGGTTAGTTTCAGAAGTAAAATATCCATGTCGCTTAGATTGCCCACTTTTATTTATTATTTTCTATATTTCATTTATTATTTTCTCCCACCGACATTGTGTGTTCTGAATTCGGGGTGAGGGGGGGGGGCGAATGGTTAGCACGTGCGCGCTGTATGATAAGGCCCGTCATTGAGTCAACTGGCGTGGTTTCGATTCCCTGGTTGTACGTGACAAGGAGTAGGATCGCCTGTCCAGCCTCTTGGGTTTTCTCCGGGTCCACTGATTTCCTTTCACTGCCAAAGACCCGTAAGCGCAAGCGAATTATTGAAATAAAATTGAACCATGTGTTAGTCCCAAAATGACCTAGTTTGTGTCGAGTGAATGTTAACCTCTCTCTCTCTCTCTTTCTCTCTCTCTCCCTCCCCCTCTCTCTCTCCCACCCCTCTCTCACCCCCTCTCTCTATTACCTGTAATAGAGTCACTGCTACCCCTACGGTTAACTTTAGCTCTAAACTGTCCATCTTTCAAAAGGTATCGAGCAACCCGCCATTGGCTCTGATAATAAAACAACATTAAAAGTGTTATTAAAAGAGTTGATAATATTTAAAATACTCGCCCAATTTGGTTATACATGGCGACAATCGAGTCCACAATATCAAAACAAGCTAAACATCTTTGATCTGGTTTAAAATATACTATTCAAAAAAAGTAGGGGATATTTGATTTTGGGGGCATAATACTAAAATATGCAAATGACTAAGAAAAAAGTCACTATAGAACCTAAGAGAAGAAACATTTCCAGTTACATGTGACGCCCAAACGCACCAATAGCTACCGCATGGAATGCAGGTGATGCTTGGGATCATCATGGGGGTCCAACCCAAGATTTGCACGACTCTGACTTTGAATGTTACAGTCATTGTGGCATTGAATTCCAGGGTGGAAACATCAGTTTAATTGTTTTAGTGACCAGAAAACAAATTTTGATATGCGTCGGCTTACCCAAAATGAAAGGTTACGTGCCCTTGGCATGCTACAGATCGGCACAACACAGGCGGTTGTGGCGCGGACGATGAATGTTTCTCAGTCTGTCATAAGCAGGCTATGGTCCAGATACCGTGATACACAATCTGTACAGGACAGACCACGCTCAGGTCGACCAAGGGCGACAACTCAAGCCCATGATCGATTTATCCGTACCTTGGCTTTGAGAAATCGTGTCATCACAGCAAATCAGATCAGCGCTCGTCTTCAAACAGACACTGGTGTGAGAGTGAGTGGCCAGACGATTCGGAATCGACTGCATAGGGGTCACCTTCGCGCCCGACGTCCTCGCGTGATCCCTTGTTTGAGAGATCATCACATTCAGGCAAGACGTCGTTGGTGTAGGGATCGTCAACACTGGGATAATCGACGCTGGAGCAATGTGATGTTTTCAGATGAGTCAAGGTTCACTGTTGATTTTTTGGACAGACGTAGGAGGGTGTGGCGTCGTTGAAACGAGCGCTTCCAAGACGTTAACGTCATCAGACATGATCGATTTGGGGGTGGTTCTGTTTTGGTGTGGGGAGGCATCACTGTTGCTGGAAGAACGGCTTTACATGTTGTTGCAGGGCGTGTTACAGGCCAGTACTACCGGGACAACATCTTGGCAGTCCATGTTGTGCCGTTCGCACGACGTCATGGCCGCCGTTTCATCTTCCAGGATGACAACGCAAGATGTCACAGGGCCAGGATCGTTACAGGTTACCTCCAACAACAGAACATCACCACATTACCTTGGCCAGCACTGAGTCCCGACCTCTCCCCCATCGAGCATGTCTGGGACATGCTTGGACAGAGGTTACGTCAACGTCAACAACGTCCTGCCAATGTCCAAGAACTTGCTGCTGCGTTGCAACAGGAATGGGACAATCTGGACCAAAATGAACTTAGACGTCCCATTAGGAGTATGCCACGTCGGATCAATGCTTGTTTGGCAAACAGAGGAGGATTTACCCGTTACTGACTTGGTTGTGATGCTGTGGTAACTTTGCTGTTTGACCCCGGGTATCATTTTACCCTTATAATGGTCAGTCTGTGCCTTACTTAGTCTAACGATCATTTGGAATAAATCGATGAATGTGAACTTCATTTCATTTTGTCATTTGTTTCTTCGTCAGTTTCATTAGGTGACTTTAATAACACTTAAAAATCAAATATCCCCTACTTTTTTTGAATAGTATATATATGGAAGACAAAGAAGCTCTTTATTCATAGTCCTATTATTAGATTTTGATTCATAGTCCTTAATTTTTAGTTCATCATAATTAGCTGTCATAGTTGTATAGTAAAATTAGCATTTGTATCTTAAAATTAATACTAGTTTTACAAATCAGACATTTCTCATATCAGATTTGTAAATTGTATATTTCTTTAATTTCGTTGAATTGTTTATATCCAAAAACAAATCTCAAAATGATCAATGTCCCATTTTCTCCACCGACCGGGACAATGAACACGGGCATGCGTCGTGCAGTATGTTATTGAGGAAATTATTCCCAGACAGTCTACTTGTCATCGAATTCCAACTGTCAATGTTTCTGTTACGTCATACGTGCACAAAAAACGTCTTCACGAGATTTCGTTTTTTGTACCATCCGATCGACTAGATAGAGAAAGTTCACCCAGATTTTCCGGCGTGCCCCCCCCCCCTGTCAGTGATGCAGGACGTAGGGCCTGACAAGGACAGCTGTCTAGTCGTTCGGATGGTACGAAAAACCGAGGTCCCGTGTACACATTGGCGTGCACGTAAAAGATTCCTTGACAGTTGGAATTCGATATAAGAGTAGGCCGTAGTGCCGCTGTCCGGGCAAAATTCCCCTCATAGCACACTGTATGGCGTATGTCTGTCTTCATTAACCCAGTTCTGAGCAGAACAGTAGTTTTGGTTCATTATAGTTTATACGTACATACGACTTAACATCAAGTGTGTGGGCAGATGCTGTAGTATCCTGAAGGTTGAATCTGACATTGTTATTTCGGTTGGTTATGCTTATGGACGGTTGTTTACCACAATCACCATTGGTAACCACGGCTTGTTCTTGAAAAGTATAAAACTCGTTCCGATACCTGACCATTATGTTAATTTTAGATCTGAAGTCAACATTAGCCAATGTTAGAATCTTAATGCTGGCGTTGCCATTGAAATAAGCGTTACCATTTTGGATTATAGCCCCATAGTTGTCATACTCTCCAACGTCGTCTGCGTTGAAATGAATGTCCACAATAGGCTTGCAGGCAGCTGAAATCGAATTATACCAAAATGGTGTTCAAAACGGATATTTTAGAAAAGTTAAACCAAATACAAAATAGTAAAAGCTACATGAATGAATGAATGGCGGACATACGCCATAGATTGTGCTAGGGGTAAATTTTGCAAAGACAGCGGCGCTACGGCCTAGTCGAATTCCAACAGCCACGGATTCTTTTACGTGCACACCAATGTGTACACGAGATTCCGATTTTTCGTCCTATCTGACCGGCTATACGACCCTTCTTTCCTGCAGCGCTCACTGACAAGGGGTAACTATGCCAGAAACTGCAGATGAACTTTCTCGGCCAACACGCGACATCCAGCTTAGCGAGGCAACGTCTTACTCACTGAGTCACAATGACTCCCTATGATCAACATACATTAACTGTCTGCAATAAAACAAACAACTAGGAAAAATATATCCAATTAACATGCAGATGGGAAAACGTGCACGGGGCGTAAAAAAATAGATCCAAATGTAAAAGTATATTCAGACAATATTGAAGAGCTAGTTGATGGTGGTTTATGTTAAAATATAATAAAATATACAAGTACATTCAGATTGTACATGTCTACTTACGATAACAAGAAGCTCCCAATAGTGTATCACATAAACAGGTGGCTTGGTTAAAAGTCGTACCGCCTGGACAAGGCATCTTTACCGTACCAGATGGGATAACCCAATCATAATGACATCTATCATTAGTTCTTTCTTTAAACACACAGTCCACTGTAAAAATATATTATTTAAGGTCTTTATTTGGGCTTCAAGTGTCTATCATTTAGACATTTATATTCACATGACAGGCCTATAATCAACTCTATGGAATATCGAATGGACGTGATTTACATGGATTAGAACAGCCGCGAGATTAAAAAATTTAACGATACAATGGATAAAATTGAGACTTGTCAAGTACCGTTCCTACGATAATAAACAATCTATGCTATATCTTCAAACAGTCATATCTTCGCTCAGTGTAAATAATTAGAGTGACATTTTCAATATATTCATTTTTCATTATCTATTTATGAAATATTATGGTAAGAACGGCAAACTGTATATATAAATCTTGCATAATGCATCTTTAACTTTTAAGGAAATCTTTATTACCATGTGTTTTGGTGCCACATAGCCCAGTCGGAGCTGACATACTATAACTTCATTTCGAGACTAACCTATAGTTCAATTGTTTTCAATACATTGCTTGCTTGTATAAGAAGTTCGGTTTGTCACGCGCCTCTACTCCTTGTGACGTACACCCGGAGAATCAAAACCACGTCACTAGACTGAGTGACAGATCTTATGATCTAACGTGAAACTATTTGACACCCCCCCCCCCCTGACAGACAGGATATATACTATTTCAATATATAAGTAATACTACATACCAGGAATAGGTGGCTGGCTTTTGCATGACGTATTTACAGTACAATAGCCATTAAATGAATCATAGGAAGAAGCAGGTTGACATTGTCTGATTTGTGTTTTACTATCTACACATCGATAATACTGAGAACAGTTTCCATTTGTCTTGTATGACTCACCATCAACTTTTGTATTGCATGGATCTGTAAATAGAAATGAAACCACACACACGTGTATATTATGCATGAAATACGAACACCATCAAACTTATCAGCAGAAATTATTCGCTTGAAAGGGATGCCATCGAGGCGAGTTAATTAACTTTTTTTCTTCTGCAACTTAAATTCTTAAAGCAATTCTTTACTGTGTTGGAAGGAAATCTGCATAAAATATGGGTACGTAAAATAGTACACGAAGGCGTAAAATGAGTAAAAAAAAGGGCACAATTCTACCGGGATCTGTTTGTGTTACTACGCCCGATGCTATCGAGGCCTATGCGGCTCGTGAACTTAAAAGAAGACTTTCGCATTACCTCTGTGAAACAGATCGAAAAACTATTTGTATTTAGCTATTCACAGTATCAGTATTACTATAAATTATAGTATTACAACGCGTCGTCATACAACGGTACACGAACTCTTCATACCAATCTCGTAGCCACGGTGGCTAAGTGGGTAAGAAGCTGGCTCGCTAGCCTGGGGATCGCGGGTTCGATCCTGGTATTGGCAGACATTTTCCAGTGTGGTTTCACCTTATCAGAGTTGCAGGACGGAGGGCCTGGCAAGAATAGCTGTCTAGTCGTTCGGATGCGACGAAAAACCGGTGTACACATTGGTGTGCACGTAATAGCTCCCATTTTAGCTGGAATTCGATATAAGAGTAGCGCCGCTGTCCGGGCAGAATTCCCCTGATACATACTGTATGGCACATGCCCGTCTTCATTAACCTAGTTGGAGCAGAACAGTAGGACGTTAAACCCCATTTAATTCCATACAAGTTTCGTTAGTTAAAATGTCAGACTTCAAAATACAAATCTTTCGTTTTCGAGAAACTATCCCCATGGATTTTCATTTCATATCAATTTCGTTAGTTAAAATGTCAAACTTCAAAATACAAATCTTTCGTTTTCGAGTAACTATCCCCATGGATTTTTAAAATTTGACATATAATCCAGCATACAAATGATATCAGGAAAGGGGTTTCGAATTTCATAAATACCACTCAACAACAAACCACAAACCAAGTTTTGACATTTATGCAGAATTAGTAGACCTTGTTTCATTTTAATTTACTTACGAAATAAATAGAGAGAAATGGGTATTTAACGTCCACGCGACAAAAACATGGTCATTTTGGGACTAACATAATTCAGTTTTATTTCAAGGAAACCGGGGAACCGAGGATGGACAGCCGACCCCACTCCTTGCCACGTAAGAGCAGCTTACTCCTTGTTACTTACTAGCGGAGAATCGAACCTTTGTCATTTGATGTAAAGACATACTTTATGATATAACACGCACGCGTTACAACATTCGTCCACCCAACTCCCTGCTTTACTTACTCCTTGTCACTTACTAGCGGAGAATCGAACCTTTGACTCCAAGACATACTTTATTATGTAACACACATGTGTTACACCATCAGCTCACCCAAAACCCCGCTTTACGTACGAAAGCAAATGAAAATCTTACCATTATCACAGGCGACATTGCCAATATGATCACAGGTCAGTTTATCTTGATTCCAGAAAGTTCCATATCCACATTGTTTTACGTGGTATTGGAGTAAGGTGAGATCTGTTGTAAATTCACATTGAATGTACTTATCACAATCTGTATGTGGGTTGTATCCAATACCGTTAGCCATTTTACAGCCATCACATGGTTTAGTTGTTGGTTGAGTAGCTGGAAATAGTCAGGACAGTAACATTTAAACAAAATGGTAGGTACTTAAAATATTTTTTTATTCAATATCAACAGTGAAAAGTGTCTTAGCCTGGTATATATCAGCCTATCACCGCCTCGAATCACCACGACCTTTCTCCCCGTGACGTGTACGTTCTCATTACCAAATCATTCCTACCATTGGCTCGCTAACCAGGAGGCCCCCGGGTACGATCCCGGTGTTGGCCGAGAAACTCTGTAGGACAGAGGGCCTGGCAAGAAACCGAGTCTATTCGTTCTGATGGGACGAAAAGCCGGGGTCCCGTGTAGACGAAAGAACTCTGGCAGTTTGAATTCGATATAAGATTGGAACGCAGACTGTATGGCCTATGCTCGTCTTCAGTAGCTCGGATATAGCAGAAGCGTAGGACGTTCAACCCCATTTTATTTCATTGCAAATCAATTCACATGACCATTACCAATCATAGATGACAATAAATTGCTATTCTGGTAATCATATGACGTGTTGATGGTTATCCAACTTAATTAGACCTTTAAGTCATTGTTTACACCAACCACTAATTGCATGTGGAATTGTTTAAAATAGTGTCAGAGTGCCAAACATGGATTCTAGATAAGCAAGGTCACATAGTTTAGGCAGACATAATAAATCCAGAACAGGAGACAATTCAGTAGATTTGAATAGAAAATTAATTTTAACAAGAACTACCGTAATATGGACCAGATACTAAGCATGAGGTCACCACAGTCATCATGAAATTGTGATGTCATATAACAAATAAGAAGTCCTTCCATGGATACTCATGGATGATCGTACGTGCTTTGGTGGATCCGTGTGTTTTTTCACAGAGCGTCGCCCCAAAGAGCATCAACAGCAACAAAATACAGGTACGATAGCCTGTACGAAATTGTGAACTATATAACACGAAACAAATTAGTATGGTTGATTTGACCAGATTGTTATATTGTTATAATTACTTGGACAAATCAGATTGTTATACTTACTAGGACAGATTTCCAACACTAGACTGCTTATCTGTTGGGCAAGTGCCGTGTAGTCGGTGACAGATGATACCTGGCCAGATGATGAGGCTATACCATTTAATTCCTCTGAATTAATATCGTCTCCGACTCCGATGGCAAACATATTAATGTTCTGGTTTCTGGCATTTGTTGCTTGAGTCAATGTTGCACTCGGAGTTAAAGATTCCCCATCTGAATATTTAAAACGAAAATGGTGTTACAACTTACAACACAGGATTAATATTTTCTGATTTCTGCAAATATTCTACTAATAAAAAACTGGGAATTGATATGATTACCTAACCTGGTTACAGTAGACTGCTAATTTTAATTGAGTGATATTTTGGCCTTATGCTTCTAAAATAAATAATAGTTAACAGACAAAAGTACGTTCTGCTCCCATACATTGAAAACTATCTATTACTATAAAGTTTCTTACCGGTGATAACAATGCCAACTTTGGGGCTTGAAGAACCACTGAACATCTCAATCATTTTGGCGATACCCAAGTCGGTGGCTGTTCCTGCACGTGCATGGTTAAGATTATTTATTTTGTTAGTTAGATCACTGGCATCGCCTGATAATGGAATTACATCTCCTACTGTCGAACTGTAGACGACCACGCCGAACCGAACTGATGAACTCACCCCCAAAGCTGTAACAAAGTCGCTCAAAGAATCTCTAACTGATTGAAACTCTGTTGGTCCGACACTGTCAGAGCCATCGACAACGGCTATGACGTCAATAAATTGTTGGCACCCAGTAGAATCTGTTGAAAGAATGATAAGAATATTGTATTTTATTTTTTCTTACTTTATAAAAACTGTAATAATAACGACGTTGGATTTGGGCACAAATAAACTTTATTGATACAAGAGAGATACATGTACCTCCCTGCAGCCAAAAGAAATATTTCACATTTATAAAAAAAAAGGCAATTGAACAACAAAGTCCCTTGTAAAGGAAAGAAAACAGACAATCAGAACCAGGACAGTAAATGCAGGTACATGTATATATAATAGGCTAAACTACATGGTACTAACTATATTTAAAAAAAAAACAGAAAAAAAGATTTAATGAACATAAATAAAGGTGTGTTGGCGGGCAAAGAAAGTATGCTGGCTACATGAGAGCTGAGCTTATTTTACATTGATAAAAAAAGTCCCAAAGTGTCCAATTGTATTATATTAAGTTGGTTTACGAGGACTTGCAACAAAATCTGAACAGTACATTGTTGAGCGGGGTGTGCGCGTAGTTCAATCGTCCGCTTTTATCGAGGTGATATCACAGACAAGGGGTATGCCTTGAAAGCTACTATTTAAATATTAAATGAAATCATGAATTCAAAGGTTACGCTATATTTTTCTAAATCAATGACAATAACGCAGGTAAGTATATGATTTGTTTTTTTCCGAATTCAAAATAATACCAGTTGAAGTGTACTTCAAACCATCATAAATCGGGTGAAATACAGACTGCAAATTCCACAAAAAAAAAACATATTATCGAGACTAATTTCACGATTGCAATCAAATGGTGTTCCTACTCTTCTTCACCATCAGGGCTAATGGAGAGCACCATACACCATGCAGAGTGCTATGATGGAAATTGTGCCCAGAAAGCGGCACTACGGTCTGCTGTTATTTCGAATTCCATCTGTCAAGGGTTATTTTACGAGCACGCCACGAGTAAACGGGGCTTCCAGGCAAGATTAGACGCTGTTCCTTGTCCTCCGTCCCAGGGAAACCTAGCCAGGAAATCCCGAGGATCTTTTTCGGCCCACACCGGGATCGATCCCGGGACGCCCTGATTAGTCAGTCAGCACCCTACACACTGTGTCACCGCGGTTCTGTATTAATTTCAAAAACCGCCCCTTTGACGGTTATTGTCTATAGCCTATATTCTATAGGGAAGCCGATTGTTTGATGTTTAGTACCTTATTAATCCAGTCCGATCCGAGTATGCCTGTTGTTAAGATTAATTTGCATACCACTAACAGAGAGAGAGAGAGAGCGAGAAAGAGAGTTGGTTTAATGTCCACTGGACACAAACTAGGACATTTCGGGACTAACACTTGGTTCATATTGTGTGTAGGGGTCTATAACAGTGGGGGAAAACCAGAGGACCCGGAGAAAACCTACGAGGTTTCATGTACAACCGGGGAATCGGACATGCCAGTTGACTCAATGACAGACCTTATGCTAACCATTCGGCCATCCAACCTGCCTTTGATGTAGGGGCGCAAGACGCTAGCCCACTAAGCTAGATATCATCCGTTCGATCCCGGTGTTTCCTAGAAAGTTCATTGGGATTTCCCGCCTGGTTTCCACTTATCAGTGGTGCAAGACTATATTTAACACACATATATTTTAAAAAAGCAAAAAATTGAAATTATTTTGAGAGAATCCTAATATTCAAGAAAAAAAAATAACATTTCTAGGAACGACTGAATTGAAGGTTAAATATGGTCTGTGGTATATTCACAGAATCGGAATATAAAAACTGAAATTGAAATTATTTTCATAGAATCATAATAATCGGATAATAAAAACTTAAACAATATAAAAAAATATTCTTACCCGAAAAAGCTGTATGTAAAGCCACCAAGGCAACAACTCCCACTAATACCAGATTTTTCATTGTGGCGGTAACTGTTATAATCTGAAATATTTCAAATATTATCATTGATCAAAACGCCAATAGCAGGAGCGTTGCAATTAAAATATAAATTTAGGATAATCTCTGTTAATATTACATATTTCTCTTAATTGATAAAAGCGCAAGTTCGATGTATCAAAAAATAAATGTTATATTAAATATAGGTATGCTTTAAAATGTAAGTTTCTATACTTACTCTTTTAGTTAACTGTTCCTTGGTTAGCCCCGACAGAATGATTTAATTCTAGCAGATTAGGGTCTTTTATATGAAATCTGAATTGTAAAGGCTTATTGTGAATCACTGGTCTGATACATGTACACTCCCCTTTTAACTTACGTACATTTTAGGGGTTTTTTCCAAAAAAGTGGCGGAATACTGAATTAAACTTGGCCGTCGATAGATTAAAGGGTGTATAGCACATATTAAAGGGGCATTAGGTAAGATGGGATAAAGAGCTGGCTGTTCTAGCTATAATAATTAACATATAGATAATGAGAACAGTAAATGCTGATAATTTCAGCCAAATTGCTTTACTCTGAACCAAAAAATTAACGATTCAATTTTCGGCTAGCCTCGATCATCCTGACTAACGTTGATTCTAAAATTTACCAAAGTCTCGATTATCCATTTTTACGTTAAATTATCCATCTATATTCAAATCCACTAAAGATCGACTGTTAACGGTGGCATCGAGAGTTGATTATGACATGGATCATATAATGTCTAATTAATAATTAAGATAACATATCAGGCCTAAAGAAAGACCTGCAATAGGCAGATTTAGCTCTTGCATAATGTATGTTTAAAGGAATATGAGTGTATGTAAGATGACAGTAGTATTTTCTATACACAGTTCACCAACTTGTAAAGGTCACTCCACTATCCATTAAATGTTTGACCACTGATGCTGGCGAAAATTCGTGTCTCCCATGTCCAATTTTAAGTTCGAGGGATTTGATAATCGAGTTTTGGGGTTGAAACGTACACTTGGTTTTATCCACATTTAGTTCAAAGCGATTAAAATCCATCCAGGATTTAATTAGTATTGTCTGATATTTTGTGATCTGATCCAGGGCCAGATTGATGGCTAGATGATAGGTACGACTGTAACCATTCCAAAACATGGCCATTAATAACAAAGTCTGTATGAAGCCGTGTAAACAGTGGTCTGCTGTATCAAAAGCTACGAATCCCCGGTTGTACGTGGCAAGGAGTAGGGTCGCCTGTCCAACCTCGTGGGTTTTCTCCGGGTCCTCCGGTTTCCTCCCACTGCTAAAGACCCCTACGCTCAAGCGAATTATGTAAATAAAATTAAAACCATGTTAGTCCCGAAATGACCTAGTTTGTGTCGAGTGGACGTTAAACCCCATTTCTCTCTCTCTCTATCAAAAGCTACGGAAAAGCCTAACAATACCAGCAGTGAAACACGCCCCTTATCGACACAAGGTCAATTACAACTTTTTTCAAGGCTGTTTCAGTTCCATGATGGGGTCTAAAACTTATATAGCAGATCAAAATGCTATGATTAGGCTGCCCTTCTCCCAGAATCTTAAATAAAAACCAGTCTCTACATTTCAATAATATGTGGACCGAGGGATGGTTTCCTGGATAAGGGTGTTACCACAACCGATTTCAATTTGCAGGAACAGTACCAGCCATAGTCTTTTATTGATAATGTTGATGGTTGGCAGTAAAATATTCGAATTGGGTGAACTTCGCGTGATGATGGTTTTGGAGATTTTATAGGTTTCGGAATTTTATAACCAGTAAAAGATCACATTAAAGTACCGGAAAAATCTTAGAAACTATTAGAGTCACCGTGTTGATTAATTGCTTGCTGGATTGTGATGATCTTATTATGGAAAAACGGTACTGGATTGGTCCAAGTATTCGGGAGGATTTTGTAGCAGTTTGGATCTTTACTTCTTCTATTAGTTCTTAAACTCCGCTTCCATCGAGGGTTATATCGCGGACAAGTTGTTTATTTTTATTATCTTAGCCCGGAAACCGGAGTACCCGGACTAAACCAACGAGGTTGAGAAGGCATACGCTCACCCCAGGCATCGAAACCACGACGACAAGCCAGAGGTGACCGGTCAGCTATAGCTCCTGACCCGGCACTCTAAAGCCTAAAACAGATACACCTACAGGTGATAATTTGGGGTGTTTCCACTGGCCTTTTAAAACCAAGTGATAAAGATATCCAGAAATGATTGTCTATTGTAATATAGGATCAAAGATCTATTGATAACGATGACTGTGGATTTGACTTCTTTATTTTAACAGTACAGGAACACATATACTTCTCATAACCAATACAGGACACAGGAACATAACATATTCATATTGTAGTCATTACGCCATCGTCCTAATTCACGTCTGCCACCATAATGGTACACCCTCGTTCTGCCTTGAGTCTCCCAGCTCCGCTAGTGAGCAACTAAAGCCAGTCTCTCCGTCTCCGTTAGGTTTCTACCGGACGTCATTTATAACGGTCAGGGTAATATCAACAACCTTATAAGTATTTAACAGCCATTCACAAGTTATAATACATCTACATTAGTAGCCTTCATTTAACGGACAAACATATAATATTATATGACTAATTTACTAACTTAATAATTATATGTGTTATACACCTGCCAATACCATTGTCTTACACTATACTACAATTTTAATGTTTCAACACAAACAAGAGTGAGATTAAGAATATTAATATACATATAGAAAAATTAGCTGCAACAGTTAAGAAATAAATCATATAAAATAACATTTTTACATGCCTATATAGCCACGTTATTATGATGTAAGTATCACGTGAAATGAAATGAAATGGGGTTTAACGTCCTACTGTTCTACTCCGACTGGATAGTGTGCTATGAGGGAAATTTTGCCCTGCAGCGGCACTATAGCCTACTCTTTTATCGAATTCCAACTGCCAAAGGATCTTTGACGTGCATGCCAATGTATACACGGATCCTCGGTTTTTCGTCCCATCCGCACGACTAGACAGATGTCAAGTATGACGTTACATCTAGAACTACCTTACGTGTAGAAGCATATCTGAAAACTAATTACTAATTATATGGAATTCCGCTCCATATAACCGGTTTTTTTTTTTAATTTTAAATATTATAATATTGGGAATGTGAGCAAATACTAGAAAATATATTTTTATAGCAAAGAATATATATATAGAAATGTTTTAAAGTTGAAAGTCTTGCTTTAAAAGTCAATTTGTTCAGAAAAGATGTTTGTGTTTTTAATAGAAATTGAAATCAATAAATTCTACTTTGCACGTGCTTGAACCTAAAAACACAGTGATAAAGTCACGAAATTCTGTGTCATTCAGGTGAAAAAAACGATATAATGAAAAACATGTTTCCTTTATAAACAATAATTCATACTTCAACGAATGTTATATTTCGATTTAAATATCGTATTCTGTGTTTGATAGAAACAGCAGTCAATAAAATTATATTGTGCAAATACTTGAACCTAAAAGCCCGGGTTGAAAGTCACCAAGTTCTGCGCCATTCAGGTGAAATTAACGATAGAATGATGAACATGTTTCCTATATAAAACATGAATAATACTTCAACGAATATAATATTTCGATTTGAATACTTGTATACATTGCGAGGTACAACAACTAATTTTCGGGGGAGAGGACGGTTGACTTACTCCTCGTCAACCACAAACATGCGGGCGACCTTGCAGCGTGTTGGGGAGGTGGTGGGGGTGGTAACTAGAAAAACCCTTAGCCGGTTGACTTTCGAACCTCCTCCTTTCAACAACAAAGGTGGGTTCGACTTAGCAGAGATCAAAGTCCCTGTAATATACAGTAAATGGATTAGATCACGCATTCGCTTACATGAATATGGTATGCTGTGAAATTAAAAAAAAAATAACCACTTTTGCTCGAGAAAGTTATTACGTGCCTTTAAATGGCGCATATTACAAAGTTTCCAGATTATAGTTTCTGAGAAATATACAACACCCATATGCATTAAACCCACAACTTCAATGGTGGTAATTCATAGTAAATACCTTAGACCTTTGATAATACGTTTATTGTTCATAAAATATAATATGAAATTTAAATATTATCAACTGTTGGGAAAAGCAATAATGCTACTTTAAAGGGCACAACACACGAATACATTATTCAAAGTTGAATAATTCAAAAGGTAATTATACCTATATCGTTACCGTTTTATATGTCGTACAATAAAGATGTCTGACAAATTTACTTCAAATTGCGGGTGATTATTTCACTTTAAATAATGTACTTGGGGGGTTGGATGGCCGAATGATTAGCACGTGTGCGCCGTATCATAAGGTCTGTCATTGAGTCAACTGGCGTGGTTTCGATTCCCCGGTTGTACGTGATAAGGAGTAGGGTCGCCTGTCCAACCTCGTGGTTTTTCTCCGGGTCCTCCGGTTTCCTCCCACTGCTAAAGACCCCTACGCGCAAGCGAATTACTGAAATAAAATTAAACCATATGTTAGTCCCGAAATGACCTAGTTTGTGTCGAGTGGACGTTAAACCCCATTTACCCTCTCTCTCTCTTTTTAAATAATATACTCGTTGTTGCCAGTTTATAATTTAGGTGCAGTTTCTGATAAATATAGTGATATTCATTACACCGAAACCCCCGGCTAACAACATGAACAATACTTTAATAGCATATCAAGACACAAGTTTGGAATAATAACAGAGTTATCTTTTGTATCTATATCTTTTATACTAGAGACTTGATATTAAATCTTGTGTTCAAAGTCAATGTGCATGACATAATCCGGTTTAACGTGGAGATATAAATATTTTGTAGATAATATTTATATTTAGGTTGAATTTATGGGTCACGAACGTTTGATTAGATCCTGTTGATAAATTGTTAAGATGAATGAGGCGTTAATAAACTGTAAAGTCCAGCAATGAATTAATTGCTTATCAAAATAGTTGCATAGTCTAAAGGAAAAACATCCGTTTGTCATAAAAGCCATCGTTGCTTTCATAATCTTTGTATGATCTGCATGAAACGCATCCCTTTGTCGCATATACCAGCCATCATTCTATCATAATCAGAAGGAAAGGCCTCGCTTTGCCTTAAATAAAAGCCATCATTGCTATCATATTTGTATGGTCATAAGGAACAGCGTCCCCTCTGCATACAAACTATCATTGCTGATGGAAAAATACCCCTTCGTCCCATAACAAGACATCATTATTATTGTGGCATGGTCGGCGG